CCCCCCCCCCCCCCCCCCCCCGCGGGGGGGGGGGGGGGGTGGGGGGCGGGGAGAGGTGGGCAGCCGGTCCAGGCTGGTGGGGAAGGTAAGCGCCATGTTTGCGAGCACTTGGAGGAACAGAAAGCTGGGAGGGGGTGGGGGAGAGGAAGGGGGAGGAGGAGGAAAGTTGGCCCTCACCTTTTGGACTGGTTCTCCGAGGGGTTCCGGTCGCGCTGCCGGCGGTTCTTGAACCAGTTGCTGACCTGGGTGAGGGACAGGCCGGTGATCTTGGCCAGGTGCCGCTTCTCGGCGGGCGAAGGGTAGCGATTCTGCTTGTAGAGCTCCTTGAGCGCGTTGCGCGACTTCTCCTTGAAACAATACACCGTCTCCTCTCCGTCCCAGATGGTGCGAGGCAGGGGGAATTTCCTGCGCAGCCGGTACTTGTCCACGGCTCCCAGCGGCCGGCCGCGGGCTCGCTCGGCCTCGGTGTAGCGCGCCTTGTACCAGAGCTGCTGCAGCAGCGGGTGGTTGGCCGACTCGAAGCTGTGGCTCTCGAGGATGCTGTAGAGCTCGGGGTAGATGCCCTGGTGGAAGGCCACGAGCGCCCGAGCCTTCAGCAGGCTCTCGTTGCCACGTAGCAGGTCGCTCTGGGGCAAGGACCACAGGAACCGGGCCAGGCGGTCCAGGTTGCCCCCCTGCTGCAGCGCCTCGCACACGCAGGCGACATGGTCGGGCGAGAAGGCCAGCGGGGTCTGCGCGGTGGCGGCAGCGGCGGCGGCGGCGTGGTGGTGCCTGCCCAGAAGTTCCGAGTGGAGTTGTACCTGATCCGCCGCCGCCACTGCCCCTTCCTCTCCGCTCACCCTAGCGGCGGCCGCGGCGTCCCCCGGCTCCAGGGGAAAAGGGGCTGGAGCCGGGGGGCTCAGCCCCGCCGCCGCGCCCCCCGCCACTTCTTGGTGCGCCTCCTGCCCTTCGGAGGCGCTTTCCATCCCATTCTCCTGCTTGATGTCCGCCGCACTTGCAATCTGCCCGGTGGGGGAGGAAGAGGACATTTTTTGTTGTTTATTTTCTTCCCTCCCTCACTCCCTCGCACTCTTTTCCTCTTTCTGCGCGGTGGCGGCGGCGGCGGCGGCGGCGTGGTGGTGCCTGCCCAGAAGTTCCGAGTGGAGTTGTACCTGATCCGCCGCCGCCACTGCCCCTTCCTCTCCGCTCACCCTAGCGGCGGCCGCGGCGTCCCCCGGCTCCAGGGGAAAAGGGGCTGGAGCCGGGGGGCTCAGCCCCGCCGCCGCGCCCCCCGCCACTTCTTGGTGCGCCTCCTGCCCTTCGGAGGCGCTTTCCATCCCATTCTCCTGCTTGATGTCCGCCGCACTTGCAATCTGCCCGGTGGGGGAGGAAGAGGACATTTTTTGTTGTTTATTTTCTTCCCTCCCTCACTCCCTCGCACTCTTTTCCTCTTTCTTTCCCCCTCTCTTACTCCTCCTTCTTCGTCTCCCTCCCCCCTCCCCCCCTCCGGAAAGCCCACTCCCTCCTCCCGGTTTCGGCTGGATCTGGCCGATCAGGTTTCCCCCCGGCCACGCAGTCACCATTAAGATAGCTGCTAGAGCAAAGTAGTGTAAACGGATAGCTGCTTTCTGCCGTTCCCCCAACGTGACTCCTCCGGTTGCTGCATACTATATGGCACAGGCGGCCCGGCCGGCCCGGCCGCGCCACCTCATTGGCTATTTCGCATTCAGAGGGAGGAGGAGACACCGATTCTATCCCTGTCGATCACCCGCCTCCCACTCCACCCCTTGCCTTTCCTTCTCCCCCTGACCCCCAGGCATCTATACCTGAAGGAAAACACCGACATTCTTTTCAGGCCATGTTCCTGGGCGGGAAATTACCTAATGTGGCCTGAAAACTGGACAACTCTTTCAAAGAGAGGCCCTGCGATTCCAGAGGGAATATTAACTGTGTGGCCTTAAGGTCTGGACGACTAAAGTCTTAACAAAGAGACCACCCTCAGCATCTAGATGAGAAGACTTCACAGGACAATTCTGAAGCTTCCCAGTATTTCTCTACCCCCCACCCCCCTTTTCGGATGTCTTTATCAAGGATTTTGCGTTCAAAGGGTCAAGAATAGAGTTGCACTAGGGAATGTTCTAAAAGGCAAGCATTTACAGTAATTTAAAATTCCAAAGGGGAAAAATGCTTGAAAACCTTAAAATAAGCGGTATAAATAGTCTAATAAGACAAAACAAGAAGCCTTCAAAAAATGTAAACCTTAAGTCACCTGGAGGGCTGGTAACCCAACTGAATTGAACATGATATAACTAAGCATATAGAATATTATACCATATCCTGGATGAGTAGTATAGAAGAGATCTAAGCTTTAGATTATAATAATGGTGTGGAGATTTAAGACTTCTATATGAACATTTTTAGTGTAACTGTTTGATAGTTCTTTGAAGATGATATTCCTGGTAGAAACAACATCTCTATGGTGTCTTCAAAGAGACAAGTGCAGGATCAGCAGTCCTTTCCATAGCACAGACACATGGGAGATTGCCCTCTGGTTTGAGGCCGAAGTGAGGGAGTGGAAGGAGGGAGAGGGGTGGAGTCTGTTGCTGTTTGCAGTTATTTCTGTTTCCCTCATGGTTTGCATGAGATCTTAATTCAGAAAGGGATGACGCTATCTCTGCTTCCTGTGGGTCAGTTGGGTCTGCCTGCTACTGCTCTTTCTCACAATTCAACATTTTAGTGTAGTCATCCTAACCTTTACTTCAGGGTGGTTTTGTATTGTTTCTGCTTCCCAACTGCCCATAACTGCCTACTTCAACATATTATAAAGCAGCTGTTTAGATCACCTGTTGTCATGATCAACTTGGTGAGGTTTTTTTTTTTTTTTTTTTTTTTTTTCCAGACAGGCTGTATTTTATTGCTGCTCAACCAAGATGTCATTTGACATAGGATGTCATTTGTTTTTGTATTACCCTAATGTGATGAAGCCAGCAGTGACATTTCTGGCAAATTTAAAATTCAAAATCATGGAAAAGACCATGTGCTCCTACTACATTGGAAACATCCAGTTAGGTATCAAGCTTCAGGATAATATCTGAGATTCAAAATCTCCTTGAATTTTTTAAAATATACTTTTTATTATGGAATAGTTTTGATTTACAGAAAAGTCACAAAAATACTATAAAGAGTTTCCACTTACCTTTCATCTAGTTGCCCCTAATGTTAGCATCCTACATTGTAATGGTACATTTGTCCAAATGAATTAACATTGGCACATTACTGTTAACTGAACTCTAGACTTTATTTGGATTTCACTTGTTTTTCCACTAATGTCTGTTTTCTGTTCCATGATCCAATCCAGAATACCACATTGCATTTAGGTTTTTGAATTTTTAAAGCATATTTATCAGAGCAAAGTAGACAGAAGGTAGTGTAGTTTAGTGGCAAGGATGTTGAGGATCAGCTAGCAAGAGATAGGTTTATTCCTGGGTCTGCCATTTATCAGCTACTTGACTATAGAAAGTGGACAGGGTTGTTGTGAGGATGACATGCGATAAGATGGGCCAAAAAGCAGCTGGTGCATAATTAATCCTCAGTAAATGTTTGTCATCTTCCTCCTGATAGTGCAAAGTACGAGACTTTCCAGTTATATGTACCTAATGAAAATTCCTTTGGCTTTATTATGGGGCTATCCAAGATCAGGTCATTGGAGTCTGCTTCTGAATTATTGCCAATCAAATATAATGCATTGATTTGGAAAGCCATATTTTGGCTGTATATATTTGCCTCTAGAGCACCACGTTTGACAGATTATACAGAAGCAGCAGTGGTCTTTTATGTCATCTATAGCTTGGTAATTGGTAATCCCTAGCTCCAGGAGGAGATTCCTGTAGGACCAGAAGTGAAATCCAACACCAGGCCCAGGTTCCTTCATCAGGTTGAGCCTCAGAGCTTATTCTGCCAGCAATTCAAAGTGGATTCAAACATAGTCAGCTACATTGGAATGAACATCAGACTCTAGGATGTGTGGAGTTTACTGCAGACTAGTTTTGCCAAATGGTTTGTAAGATTGATGAATACTTGCTTCTGCTTCCTATGTCTGCCATGCTGTGAACATTGACTCTGTTGTGCTGATATGCAGTCTAAAGCTGTGTTGTGATTTGGGAAAACAGACTTGAGGCTGGGGTCGTGTGAGAGTGAAGAGCATCAGAAAACCAAGCTGCTTGTTTATGTACCTTTTCCTTCCAGCATGAAGACAGTGATGAGAGTGTGTGGAAGTATTTTGCCATTTTAATGTATTAAAGAAAATCCAGCTCAGCACAAAATTTTACAGTAGGCTTGAATGTATTTGGTGGTTTTGTCACCAAGAATAGAGATTTTCTTTTTCTTTCTTTTTTTTTTTTTGGTGGCTGTACAGGGATCCAAAACCTTGACCTTGGTGTTATAACACCATGCTTTAAGCAGCTGTGCTAAACTGTGCTAAATAACTGCTATTTCCTTTTTCAAAGATGACTTTGGCTGTCTGGAAGATGGGGAGATGGCCGTACAACTGTATGTTGGTAGGTTCTTATGAAACTTATGTACTGGTAATGTAATGGAAGCTAGCTTCTAAAATCATCTCCTATCCATTAATATTTAGTGAAGGCTGATGATAAAAAGTGAACATTTCTGAAGATCATTCATTTGCCAAACAGTTATTGAGTCCTGCCTAAGTAAAAGGCATTGCATTAGGTACCGAAGGATAGAAAGATGATTATATTTGAGTCTCTGACCCAGAGGAGCTTAAAATCTAGTGGGGGAGATAAGACCTGTTCACAAGTAAATGCAATACAGGATATGGGAGTGGTGAGGATAGAGTCTAGCTTAGAGAGGAGGAGGGTAATGGGGAGTGAATTTTTAGCTGGGTCTTTCAGGATGAGAATTTTTTTGATTTTTATTTTTTGGCAGCTGGCGGGTTAAGGGGATCCCAACTCTTGACCTTGGTATTATCAGTACCATTCTCTAACCACTTTAGTAACTGGCCAGCCCCCAGGACAAGAATTTTGAGAGGACAATGTTAGAAGTTTACTAGAGTCACAAGGAACAGAATGAGAAAAGCATGGAGCCATGAAGGTGTATGATATATTTCTGAAATATTGAGTAATTCAGTGTGTCTGGAGTGTGGGTTTTATATAAATATGTGGTGGGAGATTACCTTAAAAAGTAAGTTGGAGACAAATTATGAAGGACTTTGAATGAAATGCTCAATTTGTGGTGGTGTGTACAGTAGCTATGTCTGTGTGTCCTATCATGGCCACCATCAATTGGTCCAGCATGGGTACTTGCCCCAAACCAAAACAATCAGAATCCTTTTCTGGGGTTTTTTGAACTTGTACTATGAGAATTAAGACTGGTGGAGGGAACCTTTGATGTAATGCTTGGGAGTTCTCAGTGACCAAGTTACCTGCCTGTGTAGGATGCTCATGAGCAGTAGGTGAGGAGAGTCACCTACTGTGTCATCTGGGTGGCAGTGGAGGGAAGACATCCTGCCAGAGACTAAGCGAGTGCCAGGTCCTAGTCATCTCCCGGGCATAGCAGCATTCTGACCTTTTTTGGGGTGATATGAATTTCCCCAATAGCCAGAAACCGCACTTGAACTGACCTAGGCAAAAAGATTAATTTATTGGATCATGATACCAAACAATATGAAAAGAGCAGGAGTACAGCTGGTTGTACTTAAAGACCTGCTGTCCCATTTCACTTGCCTCTGCCTTTCTCATCAAGTTAGTTTTCAAAGGAGCTTTCCCCCAGAAGGTTGAAAAAATGGTTCCCAGTAGCTCCCAGCCCACATTTTCCAGCTTCATCAAAGTTGTGCTGCTTTTCCCATACTGCCAATTTGAAAAATTCTCTAATTGGTCCAATAAGGATTTATGTCAACCCCTGGGCCAGAGGGCCAGTATTGTGATTGGCAGGCTCAGTAGAATCACATAGGTGTGTGGGGGAAAGGCTATTTTCCATAAGAAGTGGGAGAGATGCTATACCTAGTAAAGAGCCAAAACAGTAAATGTCCCCTTTAGGTGGGAAAGCCCAATCTGGGCCCATAGTCTTGGGGCTAGGAAAGAAGGTCTATGTTTGAGAGACACTACCCCAGGGAGTTAGAATCTACTTAACTGAGGTAGGAAGGCTAGAGGATGAGCAGATTTGGGAAGAGAAATAATGGACTGAATTGGTCCACTGTTGGGATTGGTCCAGCAGCTGTCTTCAGAAATGTCAGAAACTTGATAGTTTGATGGTTTTCTACATAGGCTGAGCTTCCATTTGAATTAGAAGTCTGGTGCTGTCAGTGCTTTCCTCCTCAAAGCTCTCTGGCCGTTCTATGTTATTGAGCCTCCCCATCAATGATAATGATGGACATTTCAGAGTTTCTATTATGTATGAGGCATTGTAGTGGGGCCTTTATATATGTTCATGTCATGTAATTTAATCATTATAGCAACCCCATGAAGTGTATTATATGGAGAAAGGAAACTGAGGTAAGGGAGACCAGGCAAGGAGCACTCCCAAAACACCACTTCCATGTGGGTGGCCCACCACAGCCACCACAATAGCCAGAGCTGCTGCAAAAGCAGCTAGACACCACAACCACCATCAAGATGGCCTGCCAGCAACTCAAGTGCATTGATACAAGGAAAGTCACCAGCAGAGACCAAAGAAAAGAAGAGGATGTCTCTCTCCAAAAAGCCCATTCTAGAGTGATAGAAGAAGCATCTGCTGTATGATAATAGTGGGGGACCTGAACACACCTCTCAGCATTGGACAGATCATCTAGGCAACAAATCAACAGAGTAACTGTTACTCTTTCAGGAGAGAAGAAATCTAGGGTTATCAGAGGTGAGATGGGGGAGGGACAGGGAGATAGGGAGAGATTGGATAAGGGGCATAAACTATAAGTATGATTTGTAATAATATATATGCTAATAATATTGATTTGATCAACATATGTCAACATTGAACCCCCAAAATATGTATATTCAATTATGATTCAATAAAAGTTTTTAAATCCTGGTTTAAAAATAAAAGAAATTTGGCTCAAACACAGGTCTGTCTCATTTAAAAGGTCAGGACTTCCTATATTACATTGCCTCTTATAATATTCATACTACTGTTAATAATGACCAAGAATTATTGAGATGTTACTCTTCTAGGTGCTGTATTAAGCACCTTAAATGAAATATCTCATGTAATTTTTACAAGTATTACCCTTGCTTTATAGTTGGGGAAACTGAGGCTCAGGGTCACATAATTAGTAAGTGATGAAGTTAGCACTTAAATACAACCCTCTTGGTGCTAGAAACCAGATCTTTGAGCACTATTTTCTACTACCTTTAGCTCTATGGGTAAAACTTACCTGATAGAGTTCCAAGTCAGTTGTTGGTATCATGCTGCCCTGTTAGTAGTTTCCCACATGGGAAAATGGTACAACTTGTAGTAATGTTTTCTCCCACAATCTTCAGTGCTTTCTTTACCTTCATCTTAAGATTTGGGAAAAAGGAAAAGCAATTCATTTCACAAGGTGGGGGTCTGTTTCCTCTTCAAAGACGTGATTAAAACTGTCCTGGTGGCAATAAACAATAATGCCAACTGAATGGGTGACTTCTCAATGTAGTATTGGCTAAACATTTTATTTGTACATGGACCATCTCCTTTCACCAGAAGCTTCTTGTTCTGTTAAGATACAAATACCCTAAATTGTCTTTATTCTTCGCGAGCTTTACTGTGAATCATGTAACTGGTTTGGATGTGGTCTCTTTCAATAAGATAATAGCAGCATAATGAGCCTCCAGGTCAGCACAGTATTTAGTATTGCCTGTTTTAGTAAACTTATATTTAGTTAATTCCTGTTAATGAACAACATTAAGATCAAGGAGATGATATGGTTTATTTATTAGGTGAATCCCTGATGTCTATATACCAATATAAAGCCATAGCCTGCTTTGGTCTGCTGATTCTTGGATGTGATATCTGGCCGTTTGTCATGTTCCCTTTTTATAACCCATGGAAATTCCAACTGTATTTCCTGGCTATGGGTTGCCTACTGGGTTCACTGTTTTAAAAAGTGGGAGTTGGAATGTTCCTTGTTATGTTTTTATTGAAAAGAACGAAAGTGCTATGAAAATTTAAAATTGAGTGTGTATGGTTGGTATTCATTTGTATGGATTAATTTGGAAAACCTTGTCTGTATGCTCACTTCTGATGGAGTTTGGGTCAGATGAAGGTGATTACAAGAAAATACTTGGCATTAAACATCTTCACATTACACTGTTACTTTATGGTTGTTCATTAATTCTTAATTTACTCATTAAGTATCAACAAATTCTTATTTTCGAGATGAATAAGAATTCATTTCGGTTTGTCCCTTACAGTGGGAGGAGTTTATTATCTAACACAGTGTTTACAGACTTCAATTTGCCTTGTTAATAAATGCAGTGAACATGACCGACAATTTTCAAAAAGATTCAGGCTCTCAGATCTTGGAATTGCTGAAATAAAGTTGCATGTATTTTTATATAATTTTTCCCTCAGTACTTGGGGAAATAAATGTCGTATTTGATGGGGCACAGATATTAGAGTCATGTGACACCATGAAGCACGCTTGACGGTCTTGAGGGAGGAGGTTTTCTGCAGAGCAGATGCCAGATATTATTTATAGACGTATTGTGACATTTAGTGAGAATTTGTATCATCGTCGAAGGCTATCATTCTAGATAACTTTTCCAAACTTTATATCTGCAAATGCATATTATTTTTTGAGCTTACATGACTATGCAAGTATAAAGCACAGGTTATCAAATTGTCCAACGGAAAATACTAGTGTGAATTATTGAGTATGCACACCGGGCATAAGTCTTAGGAACTTTTTTTTGGTGGCTGGCAGCATGGGGAAGCGAACCCTTAACATTGGGGTTATAAGGCCATGCGCTAACCAACTCAGCTAATCGGCCAGCTTTGGGTATGAAACTTAGAACTCATACAAATGTTTTCAGTCAGAGCAAGGTGGAATTTATCTTCCTAATTGTGACACGGTACCTTGAAAAATGCAACTAGGTGCGTAGAGGTAAGGCTTTGCGTAGTGCGTATAATTTGTCTTTTTAAAATCCTCCCCTTGCCCGCGTCCAAGGTATTGAGCTGCCCTTACGGAAGGCTGAAAGACTGAGCACCAGCTGCAGGACAGAGAACTCGCTGTCGGAACCTTTGTGTTGCAGTGCATCGCCCCTAGCCGGTGCTCTTTCGCAAACGGACCGTCCCTGCCTAGTGCCTGTTGGTAGGAACCCGCTTGGCGTCAGTCAGGTCTGAGGGGTCTTGTAGGTGTCTGTGACTGAAGGAGACTTTGGGGAGTGTTGGCAGGAGAGAAGGCGCCATGGACGATCAGGGCTGCCCTCGGTGTAAGACCACCAAGTACCGGAACCCTTCCTTGAAGCTGATGGTGAATGTGTGCGGGCACACTCTGTGAGTCGGGCGGCAGTGGATTCCAGGGGGAGAGACAAGCGAGGTGGGAGGAGAGAGCCAGGAGGTGCTCGGCCTCAGCTCAAGGGATTAAAGGGCGTCTTTAGTTTCGACCTGGGGGAGGAAAATGGGAAAAGGGATCGTTGCGGCCTCAGCTCAAGGGATTAAAGGGCGTCTTTAGTTTCGACCTGGGGGAGGAAAATGGGAATGCTCTTTCTTTAAACGGACCGTGTCCGCTAGCCTTGAGTGGCTCTGGCCTGCTTTTGAACTGCGGGTTCCTAGTGTGGTACCCAACAGTTTGTCACGTTTTTCCTCCATAGCCAATGAAAATATCGACTGGTTAAAAGTGTAGGGGATTGGAGTGTTTCCTTAATTCCATCGCATTTTTTTTAATTGAAAAGAGCGAAAGGGCTATGAAAACTTTATTATCAGTGTATACTGCTGCTATTTATTGTATGCGTTAATCTGAAAACCGCGCATGTGTGCCCACTTGTTCTGGTGGATTTCGTTTAGACTCTCATCACAAAAAGAAGAAAATCCAGACTCTAGGCAGTTAATTTTGGAGATACAGTAATGACTAACATTATAGAGTGCACATTATGTGCCAGGAACTGTTCTAAGCGTCTTACCATGAAGTAGGTACTGGTATCATTACCATTTCACAGGGAAGGAAACAGAGACTGCTCAAGGTCCCTTATTAAGTGGGTCCTGCTGAATTGGAACCCAGGAAGTCTGACTCTAGAATGCCCATGGGGGGGGGGAGGGGACGGAAGGAAGGAAGTTGAGTTCGTGTATGTTGAAGATTAAATTAAGGAATTAGTCAGTATTTCTTGCCAGATTTTTATGGTCAAGTGTGGTTCAGTAAAGGTGGTTCTGTTAAGCACTTTGGGATGAAAGGCACCATAAACGGTCCCGGGTTTATGATGGTTCAATATTTTTCGACTTCATGGTGCTAAGGCGATAGGCATTCAGTAGAAACTGTCCTTCAGTACAGTATTCAATAAATTACATGAGATATTCAATAGAATTTGTGTTAGATTATTTGCCCAACTGTAGGCTAATGTAAGTGTTCTGAGCACGTTTAAGATAGGCTAGGCTATGATGTTCAGTAGGTTAGGTGTATCAAATGCATTTTGGACTTACGGTATTTTCAACATAAAATCTATAGTAGACTATGATCAAATGGTTTAAGATTAGAAATGAGGTAAAAAATAATAACGTAGAATGCATGGAAAAGGGAAGCAAGGCAAACACAGTAGATAGACCACCTGTATTAGGTTTTTAGAGAGATTGCGTTCAATTTCTCTCTATTTTCCTGTATCAGGTTTGTTACAGTTGGTGGTAAAGGAAAGGGAATTTGCTTTTTTGGACTAAATATAATTTTCTGGCCTAGCAGAAATTAGCCAATCTGGGAAGATGATAGGATTTCAGTAAAATAAATGGCATTTTTATTAGATAATTATAAAACATTGGTTTTAATTGGTAAGTGCTTTTGTTATATCCTTAGTTATTTTTGTTAAGGAGTAAGAGTTAAGAATACTTGAATTCATTTTGGTGTTGCATTCATTTTGGTTAATTTGCTAACTTGTTAGATATAGATCACACTTTACAGTCCTTTTTTGAATTGCAATATGAACAAAATGAATAAAGGCTTTAGGGTGTTGGCTAAGAAAACAAGCTTTGGAATCAGCCTGATTTCATATTCGGTACTGTTACAGGCTTTGTGGCTTTGGGCAAATGACTAACTCCTTGTGCCTCATTCTTCTTATCTGTACAACAGAGAAAATAGTGCTGACTATATCACAGTCTTTAAGGATTAAATAGTAGGTGTAAAATATTGGGAGGTACTTAGTAGAGTTTCTGTCACATAGTTCAGTATATTGGCTGTCATTATTATTTGTATGTGACATGGGTGATATGCAGAAATGAACTTAAAACAGGATTTATTTTGCCTGCTATAAAAGACTTAAATAGTAATTATTATCCTTAAATGAATTCAATAGACTATAAAATGTGAAAATATAGCTTTAATTGTAATGGTAATTTTCTTAAAATGAATTCTATAGCATGTTCTCTAATCAATCATCCTTATTAGGAAGTACCTTAATTTAGGCTAAAACTCTGTTCTGTGTCAATGAATATAGGACAGAACTCACTAATTTTTTAAAAATTTTATTTTTGGTAACTCATTAAAAATTAAGATTATGTAAGTAATTAATAACAAAACCAACATAAGATATTAAGTGAAAGATTAGTTTCTCTGGTTTATTTCCCCAGAGGTAACAACTTTAGGTTCTTTGTGTATCTTTCCAGATATTTTCTATTTATATACAAATATGTGTTTGAGTTGAAAACATTTTCTTTCCCCAGCGTAAACAGGATAACAACTTTAGGTTCTTTGTGTATCTTTCCAGATATTTTCTATTTATATACAAATATGTGTGTTTGAGTTGAAAACATTTTCTTTCCCCAGCGTAAACAGGATCACATATACTGTGTATCCTTGCTTTTTAAATTATGTATATCTTGGATATCTTTTCTAAATCTATATGTCCTTCCTCTTTATTTTTTTTAACAGTGGGATAGTAGTTTGTTGTTCAATTATAATATAATTGATTTAACTAAACATTTTTTGATTAATATTTAGGTTTCCAGTTTTTCACTGGAATAAACATCCATCTTTGGGCAAACAGACATCTTTGAGCACTTGTACAAGTATATCATAAGATACAGCAGGTAAATCATAGGGTAAATGTCTAGTAGCGGAATTGTTGGGTTAGAGATTGTGGCTTTTAAATTTTGATAAATATTGCCTAATTGTTCTTGAAAAAGATTGTTAACAGTTATATTCCCAATAACTGTGTATGGCTACTCCTGTCGCCACACATCTTTGCTGATATTGGCCATTATTATTTTGTTAAATCTTGCATTCTGATAGATAAGAAAAACATTATGGGTCTTAATGAGAAATTCTTTTGATTTGATAGTATGTTGAGTTTGTATAGCATGTATTTCATGGGATTGAATTTAGGCATTTTTATAACATACTTGTTAGTTTGACAGGAGCAGGTATTACTGTTTAGCATTACTATTTGTATTAGTTATGTATTGAGTAATGAATAAACTCCAAAATTAGTAGGTTAAAACAACAAGCATTTATTATACAGTTTTTGAGGGTCAGGAATCTGGGAGTGGCTTAGCTGAGCGATTCTGGCTCTGGGTCTCATGAGGTGGTAGTCAAGTTGTTGGCTGGAACTGCAGTCTTTGAAGACTTAATGAGGCCCAAAATATCGGTTTCCAAGGTCATTCATGTGGCTTTTGTCAGGAAGCTTCAGTTCCTCCCCATTAACCTCTCCATAAGGCTACTCATGACATGCCTTCTCCCAGAGCTAGTGATATGAGCAGGAAAGGGTGGGTAGTGGGGAGGACTGGAAGCTGCAGAGCCTTTTAAAACCCGGTGACAGAAGTGACATATCATCACTTCTGCTGTATTTTATTTGTTATGCTGACCAATCCTGTTACAACCTGGGAGGGGATTTACACACTAGAGTGTGAAGTCTGGCTTCCACGTAATTTTATTAACTTATTTTTTGTTCATGTCCTCAAGTAGCAAAGAGATTTCAGGAGCCAAGTTGATAAAGTGAGTAGGAGTAGGACTTCATAAAAGATAGGAAGTACTGGATTATGCAAAGGTTAATTAGGAATACTATTAATGGGAGAAAATACAGGAGCAGAAAGAAAAGAAGAAAAGATAAAGAGGTGAAACAGGAAAATGTTTTTCTCCCTTAACTGCTAGCAGTTAAAGGAACATATTCCCTTACGTATCAGTCAGTCCAGCAGACACTCAAATGAGTTGATTGCATGCACATCTTCATTGGATTTCATGTTTTTTTCTTCTGATTCAAGGATGAATTTTGTCTCAATTACAGAAAAGGGTAGTTTTTTTTGATTCTTTGCTTATCAGACCCACTTATTTCAAGAAATAAGCCTTCCATAGAATCCTGAAGGCATGCTGAATTAGATGGAGTCAGTTATATCTAACTCTAATTTAACTACAGTGTTTAATAACTCAATTTCTGCCCCAGCCATTCTTGGCAAAACCTGTCTCTGGAATTTTTACATGTATTTGATTTTACTAAATTTACTTTTTTTCATTTTAAATATACACAAGAGACAAAGTAGTAGTTAAACAAAACCATGTACGTACTATGCTCACATATAAAAGCCAATATTTTGCCATATTTACATAGGCTCTTTCTCTCTCTATTTCTTCCCTTTTTTCTCTGCCCCTATTTCTCTCTCTCTCTTATTTACTGATATTACTGGATAGTTTGTCCTGAAGAGGTTATCTTGAAGAATCTGAATTCTGCTTATTGAGTCTCTGTGGTATTGTTTAATATGTTTCTCTGTCCTCTGTTTTTCTTCTAAATTTTCAGTTATATTTAGAAGTTTTATCAGATTAAGGTTCACTTTATTTGTTACAATAATTAAAAAATGGTATCAATCACTTGTTTTAACTAATATACTGATTTTATACAGTACCTTTGTGCATATTAGGAAACAGTGCCCCAGAAAAATTAGGAAAAGGCACCCGGTGGAAAATTTAGAAATGGGACTTTTGACATATATTGTTATTAATTTCTAATTTTATTCTTCTGTGGTAAGAGAACATGCTTTATAAAATTTCAGTCTTTTGAAATTTTCTGAAATGTTATTTGTGGTCCAGCATATGGCCTTTGTGAATGAAGTATAGTAGTCCCTTTTATCCATGGTTTCACTTTCTGCAGTTTCAGTTACCATACACTTCCAGCTTGTTAGTCACTTAGTAGCTGTGTCTGTTATCAGATAGAGTGTGTTGCAGTGCTTGTGTTCAAGTAACCTTATTATACTTAATAATGGTCCCAAAGTGCAAGAGTAGTGAAGCTGGCAATACAGATATGCCAAAGAGAAGCCATAAAGTGCTTCCTTTAAGTGAAAAGGTGAAAGTTCTCAACTTAATAATG